AGAATTGCATCAGGCACCTACACTGCAGATACCCTGTACTGACTTCCCCTTTGCTCTGCACCAGAAAGGCTGCATTCCAAAGCCACCAGGTCCTGCTTCAAATCATAGTGACCTGGTGACACCCAGGGCACTCAGGCATGTGGCACAGTTACAACCACCTAACTGGGAATGAGAGTGGACATTACACTATTTGATACATCTTGGAGTAACAGCAAAGGGATGTTGGTGCAGAAGAGTATGTAACAGAACGATCAATAGCAACAGCATTCAGATGGACTCCAGTCTGAGTAAGAAAAGGAGATATAGAGATTGCAATTACTGTTTTTTATAGTACCATTTTTGTTTAATGCCATTTTCAATGTTCAGTTACTCCATTATAGCACCACAATCAGGATGACCCTAGCAATAACAAAAAGCTCTTCATGTTTTATCATCACCCTGAAGACAACTTACATCTCTTTCCTCTTCCTAATAAAATTCTTGATATTCTTTATTTTTTTAGTGTTCTAATTGGCTGCTAGTGAGGTTCTCTTTCTGCGCCACTTTGAAGAAAACCTGCTTAGATCAGCAGACCACATTAGGCAGATAATTTTGTGCTAACACACAAAGCCAGTGCTTGAATGGAGCTTTGTTTATTTGTCTTTTCAAAATTGTGACTTTTCAGATATCTCCTTGAAGCCAAAACATCTGTGTGGGTCATTGTGCGGAGAAACTTCGATCTGCCCACCTAACATTCCTGCTGAGGCTCCGGCAGGGATGTCATTTGCCTCTTGTTCAACCAGGAACACAATGTGGGACTATGGCATGCTGCATAAGCTCCAGTGTTTTCCCTTGGAGAAAGCTGTATTTCACTATTGTCAGAAAGGATCCTCCCCCAGCTCTGCACACAGAGAGCCAGCCATCCTTATGGAATGTAGGGTTTGGTCCCTCTGCTGAGGTGCTGGTCCTGTTCATACTCTGACTGGAGGCACTCAGTAACACAGGCATGAAGTCACACCACAACATTTGGAGTCACTGAATAAAATGCAGCAGATGAGCTGCTGTTGATTGAAGCTAAGACACGAGGAACTGAAGTTCTGTCCAATTTTTCTGCTCCTTTTGCTGAGGAGAAGGTTTCTTAGTGGGGGGGCACCACCTAGCTGGGGTCATAATAGCTATAAAACCCCAAGGTGCTACTGAGCAACTGGGAGGATGATATGGGAAGTGGGGAAAGACCCACCCTTCATACTTGCCACCTGCAAATTTTGTGGTTGCTTTTCATGGGCAAGCACGGCCATGGCAGAGTGAGCTGGCTGCATCCCTGTACTTTTCCACCTTCTGTTTTGGGTAATTATTTATGTGCACACTCAAATGCAAATCCCTATCCTGCTAACAGCCTCCAAAAGCACTTTACAGCAAGAACAATATGGGCCTTACATCTATAGATGTCTTTTATTGCATGGTGGAAATGCCAGGAGTTTTCTCTGCTATCCCAATAAAACAGTGTCCTTTCTCAGCTCCTTCAGGGACAACAGGAGCATTGCTGAACTATCACATCAGGACAGGATTCTGCAACCATCACCAGAAAATCCATCAGCAATGATGGGAGACCTCAAACAGCATCCAGGGAATGTGTCTCAGTGAGCCACCAGCCTGTCTTGAGGGTCAGCACTACCAAGAGGCGATGTTTACATCGCTCTCCTCACGCTCCTCTGTTCTGCACTGCAGGCAAGCGCAAGAAAGAGGCATTTATAATATCACATTAGGAGGTAGCTTTGACCCCACATGGTGCTCAGGTGCAAATGTCTCCCCAGGGTGAAAAACAACAGATAACTGGACTTGGCAAGCAATTTATAGTGATGCTTTCATTGATGCAGAGCTAATTCAATCTTTTCAATCCTATTTACTGAAACACTGGCACCCATGTGTATTCTGCTGCCATCATTTGACCCATGCTCAGGAGCAGATGTGACTTGGTTGCACAATTAAAGGATGTGAGAATGCCCTGATTTAATTTAAAACATGTATTTATAGATATCCAGCCTCACTGAAGCAGCACAGGGCTGACACTTGGCTTGTTGCTTTAGGTTCTCTTTGTTGTACTTCTCACATCTTTGTGGGGCAAACAAATCCCATGGTATGTCCAGTCACACTGCCTTATTCCTCATCTTAAAAACAACCTGACTCCTAATTCAAGCATATGTGCTGCTGAAATAGCACAACCAAACACTTCTGAGATTTGAATCTTTGGGACACAGCAGCCTGTTACTGCCTGCAGTGCCTAAGAGAATTTGCAAGGAAGTATTTCAAAAAGCTCAGTATCAAGCAATGCTAGAGCTCTCAAAACCACTGAGCCACTTCCCACAGCCGTTTGGGGAAGGGTGGGCTCTTTTTTAAAGAAACATGAAAATGAAGTAGTGAAATTAATTATCTGTATTACTCCCTTGCTCCTGGGCAGCCCCCTGGGTTTCCCCATGGGTCCTATCCAGTGTCACTGTCAACACAAGGCATTTCAGCCCTGATTAAGTTGCTACAGGCCAGCCCTTATTCCTCCAGTTCTAGTCAAGAGCAAATGAGACACATGCACGCTTTGCAAGTCCTGAAGTGCACCTCTGTCGTTGACACAGCAGGGCAAGTGGAGTTGGCAGAGACCTGTGGATTCCAGCTGTTTTGGACATGAGTGATTCCCGTGAATTGGCTGAGCATTACTCCCTAAGCATTTACTTAATTTTCTGCTGCAAGGGGCACTTGGGGGACATTGTCAAAGTATATTGATTATGCTAAGGTCACATTATCACTTACGGTTATCAGGCTGCCAAACCCAGGTTCAGCCAGTGAAGTTCAAGGTTCCTCCAAAAACCTGGAAAGCACAAGTTATGCCCTGACCTGCAGCAAATTTGCACTTGAACAAGAATCACTGAAGATCAAGCCATAAGTTTCCCAAAATGCAAGGGTTACCCCAAGGGCCCTAGCATTCATTTCCTTTTCCAACTCTCTTTGCAGGCTTCGCTAGAGCTGTAGACACAAGCTGGTATTCAAGACTCAAAGCAGTTTCCTTTGCATCACCTAAGAGATGTTCAGGCATAAACAAAAATCCAGAAAAAGTAACAGGAGAAAAGGGAGGGGGGAATCACCTATCACTTCTGGGAGTTCAAAAGCACATTATGGCAGCCTGAGCACACAGGGAATTGTCTACATCCTAGAGGTGGGAAACTGAGGCACAGATCGACACAGTGATATGCTCACAGAAACAAGGCCATGGAAACCTTAAGTGAAGGCCTCAGTTTCTGTAACTGAGCACTTCACGCTGCAAGAGCTAAAGAGGCTGTTGCAGAGGGCTGTCACTGCTCATGCAGTGTTGGCCCTGATAGAGATCCCTGGGAGGGAAAAGGGTTAAGGAAGGGAATTTTGTTACTTTCTTGTCGTATTTTCTCGTGGGGGGAGAAGCGTTATGCAAGCAAGAGTTTTCCACTGGCTAGGCCCCCTTGCACTTATCAATGGGACCTTTCAGGACTCACTCCCTGATTGAGACATCATTTCCTGTCCAACACACTAACCCCATTGATAACTCCACGCTTGATGGGAACTTTTCAAACCTACCAGGAAAGGCCAGGAGACCCAGAACAACATATACATGAAAACAGAACTGGGGCGAAAAGAAAAAGAAGAGAAAGAAAGAAACAGTTTTGGCCACAATTCGCATGCTGACAACAAATGTTTGTGACTAGGGAGCTGTGCCTCTTTAGCAGGTACATCAGACACAGAGAAGATGCTGACACACTCTTCACAGCAGAGGCACTGGCAGGCCTGGCACTTCAGCCCAATAAGAAGTGAAGATGGGCACAAAAGGAAGCTTAAGAACATCCCTCTCTTGTCTTCCAGCCAGAGAGCAAACAGAAATCAGGACTGACTGTAAAAATGGTCACATTTTTCACCAGAAAGGCCAGGAGGCCATAACTGATCTAGCTTACAAAACATGCTAGAGACTTCAGGTTTCCAAATACCAGAAAGGAAACATAAAGGGGAGCAATGATGAAACCAGAGCTTTTCAAGATACCTCAGATCAGGAACCCTTCTTTTCCTAATTTATCATGGCAAAAAGACTCAATGTTATTTTCCAGGACACAGCAGAGTCAGCTGTGTACATCCTTAACACTGGCTGTGAGGATTCACTTGATATTCTAACCACAGCCCATCTCCAAACACAAGCTCCAGCCCCAAAATCAACATTTTCCCCCAAAGTTCAGGACCTCGTCAAAGCACAGCTTTTATTTTCACCCCAGGCAATTATAGTTTTGCTGTCTACAAAGATATCAATGGATCTTGATTATTGTTAAACAGGACATCAGCCCCAAAGCTCTCCTTACCCATGCAAGTGCCCAGGAACACTATCAGAAATAAAGTAACACTACAAGAAATGAAGCAGCTGATGCCCACACTGAAACTCTGTAACCAAGACTTTTCCCGTTTCCTGGTTTCAGACTTTGGTCAGCAGCTATCCAGTGAGAAAGTTTTCAATGAAATCTAAATATACAGGCACAGAATACAGCAAAGGAGCTGTACAAAACAGCAGGAGTCAGGACACTGGCTGGCCAGCTAGATGGTTAGGAGGAGAATCTGGAAGGTTTCCACTGCCATCTCCATTACTGAACTGCTGTGGGAGTGTGCAAAAGCTCTGTTGTTTTCAGTTATTTAGCTAAGTAGTTTCTGGGGGCCCAGAATGTAGCTCTCTCTCTGTTCTAAGTGCATCCAAAGTATTTAAAATTAGATCCTCTCTTCAATAGGAACCATTCATGAAAATGTCAGCTTTAAATGTCTTTACAGTGCAAGCTGCTCACTGTGAGCATACCACCCACTTATCTTATACCTTACAAGGGCAGAGCCTGAAAAGTTTCAAGATCATGACATGTAACAGACCAACCAAGCACAAAGCCTTACTTAAAGGCACTATTAACCCAGCTGGAAACATGACTAGGAGCATGAGTAGAAATAATATTTTACGTTAGACAAGACAGACTTACCTGCAGGTCAAAGAACTTGCTGTATCTCCGGTAGATGATCTGGGAAGTCAGGTCAGACCATGTTACATTGATGATATAGACCTGTTCAGGGAAAAGAAAACACAAATGAGCATGGGCCACAAAGTATGGGGTACATCCAAAGGCTGAAAAGTCAATATAGAGTAATTCCAGACCTCACTGGCTGTTCCTGCTCATAATGAGGAATATAGCCCTGAGTGCAGAACTAGCCTAAATTAAAGCCATTTCCCTGCTGCAGCCTTTAGCAGAGGTCTCAGAACAGTATGCAGCATTCTCCCACACATCTTCACTACCAGTTCCCACCAATTTTGCTCTCCCTGGGATACAAGCTTTAACTGAGGGACGGCACATTTTCTGATCTGTGGTAACACACCCTGCCTGCCTTCTTTCCTCTTTGGAGGGTCCCAGAGCTGGTTGCAGACATGACTGGGAGAGCTATTCTGTCCATGAAGCAACAGCCCATTGTGGGCTGCTGATCTGCAATCCCATGCTCCAGGTCATCTTTGCACATGGAGATGCAGCCGTTGCCCTTCTCAAGCAAGAAGTTGCTCTGGTTCAACAGGAAATTCAAAGCAAACTCAGCTCCAGGGGTACTGGGGGATTACAGCCATGTAATAGTTGCTTACTCACACCCATACACCTGGGATAGGAACTCAACCCTCTCTCTGCACACAGCCCTGGCTGAGTCACATCATACCACTCAGCACCTCTGGCCCCCACTAGACTGATCTGAAGGTGATGTAAAGCTTGACAGTGAGAGTGACACTGTTTTCTTATATTGATGGAAAGGTCAAGAGAAGCCCAGAATAAGCCCAGGATTTCTCTTGTCCAACCGTAGTCCATCCACAAAACAATCATCTTACAGAAACACTGTTTTGCAAGAAGCTGTGATAAAAATCTGCACACACATACATACACATATAAAACAGAAAATATATATGTAACAGAAAAAAAAATATATGTATATATGTGTGTGTGTGTGTGTGTATATATATATATATATAAACCAGAAAAAAATGTTTCCTTTTGACCCTAGTACTGCCAAAACATTTCTTTTAAAGAGAAAAAATGAGCCAGGTTCTGTTCTCTCATATGCTTGCCTTCAGGCCAATGCTGGTCCTGCTGCCTTGATGACAGATACACAAGGCATCAGCAAACACAGGATGGAGGTACCAAGAGTGACCACTGAGGTCACTCACTGAGGGTGACTACACAACATCAATATAATGAAAGTCACAGCCAGGCCAGCTCCTGGGCCTTTAAAGCAATTTCCATGTTTCACATATGGAGTGAGATAATGATCTGCCAGAGGAAACAGGAAAGCATCCCTCCTCCCTCAGCCCCAGTACTGCAGCAGGAGCTCTCCCTTTTGCCATGGACACACAAGTGAAGCTCTCTGTCTCCACTGATGGGGGATGGATAAGCATCATCCCCTTCTCCATCTTCCCCAGGGCACTATCCCATCTTGGTAATTGCTACTGTGCTTTTACTGATAAAAGTTATTGCATGAAAATTCCTGGAGGGTTGTTGAATATCGGGCTTAACAATGCTTTTCCGAGGACTGCTGAGGAATTCTTCCTTTCTTATTCTTTCCTAGCAGGAGAGAGATGTCATCTAATATCCCAGAAACCACAGAGGTCCTGGAGCCATACTTTCCTCTCTGCTTATTTGACCACATTCAGTCCCCAAGGCTGCTCCCCATCTACTGCAGCCCAGTTTCATGGCATTCAAGAACTGGACATGCTGAGCACAGGCTGCTAAGGAGATCTGAGGCCTTTCTCATCATCATATCAAACATATCTGCTGTTCCTACCAGGGCAGAGACCATCGAGGCTAGCAAAGGAAAGACTGCCCAGGGGAAAGAGGATGATTCTCAGCAAACCCAGGTTACTCCTCAGCTGTGTCTCACAATTCTGGAAAACCAAACCACTCAACCTCCCTCCCTCAATGCCCATACACACAAGGGTGACACTGGCACTGCCCTGCATCATGGAGGGGAGATAAGACTGTGTAATATGAAGATTTCAGGTCCTCTTTAAAGATCTGACCCACACAGTCAAAGCAGAGGAGTCAAAGCCTGGGAAGGAAGCTGCTGTTGCCAACTTTCAGGCCGACTACACTACTCTGAAGAATATTTTTCCATGTGTTTGTTGTGGAAAAAAAAAAAAAAAGGTTTGTAGCTTCAGTCTGAGCTAATTCACACAGAAATATTTCTACCCATTCTCTATCCAACAGCTACTTTCAGATGGAAAACCCATTTGATTAAAAACAGATCATGACATATGGGAGCTGAATAGCATCCAAAAGAAACTTCTGATACTGTAATTCTGGCCCCGAGTTCTCACAAAAGGGATGAGACAGGAGGAGAAACATATTGTACATGCAAATAAAGATTATATTTTTTCTTTAATTATGCATCTTTTCTGCAGAAACTAGAAACAAAACACATATGCCACAGACATCCAGGCTTTTTTAATTTCATGGCACTTCAGGCTTCCCCATGTTACTCTTCAGAACCCACAAAAACTGAGTTTTGTGAAATTTTTAACAGCCTGCAAATCTGCTTGATCAAGATCTAATCTGGACAGGAGTTAATCCTGCTTCAAGAGTCCAGCATGGTTTGGTGGTGCAGTAAGTGGCACAACACTCCCATGGCACAAGAGGGGGCTGGGCAAGAGGCCAGATTTGTTTGGTGCAGGGAACAGGTGTAGGAGCAGGACCCCACTGCATGGTACAGATATAGCCCCAGATCTGAAACTCAGGCTCTGTGGGAATGAAGCTGCCACTGACTTCAGTGCTGCACATTTAGGACAGCCATTAAATCTTTTTGAGCCTAAGGTCTCCTCAAGCTCAGAAAGTGATGGACTGGGCAGCCTGCAGATGCACTGATTTCTGTTTCATGGAAAGATCATAGCAGAAGCAAGAAAAGCCTTTAATCGTAGCCTGGTGCTATGTGAAGTGAGAAACCAATGGGCTCAAAATCTGCTTGGTGGGACACAGGTGCAAAATCTAAAATGGCTATTGATCTTTTTTTGCTTGTTTGCGCAAATCAAATTGCTTCTCAAAAGCCACCACTTAAAATAATGGGGAATAACTGGTTGAAAAAGATCTGTAAAATGCCAGATTATAAATGTAAGGTCTAGAGGTTTCAAAAGCCTTAGATATCACATTTCTCTCCCCTAGAGATCAGAGTTTGGAAATTATTTGCTTCTGCTACCTTGGGCAGACCCATAACCTTTTCATGAGCAGCAAACATTACATCAGCTTACCTCATCATTTTTTTTCTAAGATCTTAAAATGGGTTGCTGTGAAAGCAATCAACAGTATCCCAGGGGAGGAGGAGAAAAGCAGTCCTGGGGGAGCCCAAGGTCATGGAAATGCAATGGGACAAGGAGGCAGCAGGAAATATCAGATAAATATGGAGAGTCATCCCACGCTCAAACACCCAGCAGAGCCAACAGAGCTCTCGCAGACTGCCTGCAGAGCCAAGGGAGGGCTTTCTGTGGCATCCAACAACTCCCCAAAACTGAGCCACACCAGCCACCACTCCAGCACGCAGCTGGTCCTGCCCACGGGAGAGTCCCAGGTCCTCGGCACACTTCTTTTTTCATAAAAGAAGATAAAATCAAAGTACCTTACATGCCTTGGAGCAAGCTGCTCCATGTGAGTACCGTGTTTTCTGACAGTTCATACATGCACACAACTAAACTGTGTCACAATTGTGACTGCAAATTACAAATTACTACAATAATTAATTACTAAAGGTAAAAAGATCTGCTTTATGCAGATCTGCCGTGTTTATTACCTTAAAGGAGTCAAAACACACATGCTATTCAAATGCTTCACATTAAAAATCTTTTAACATGGAGTCCTTAACACTGAATGATAACTGAAGTAAAAAATTACAAACAACTCACTGCAACAATCACTGGGTGCTCCAGCCACTAAGAAAGTTCAACCTTTAATTTCAAAAATCCAGTATTTTTTTTGGTCTACTGTTATATTTTAAAATAAATCCTTCTTCAGAGAAACAAGAAGTGGGCCTGTACAGACTGTAGAATATTAATCAGGAACTGAGCTTGATAAGCAGCTCTTAATATTTATGCCTTAGGAAAGAAGGTGCAGGGTGTCGGGGGGGTTTTATCAGCTGCTAATTATTGTTTAATTCTAGCTCTGGGAAACTTCTATTTTACCCACCACAAAGCAGAAAATTTACTGTAAACTGAGGTTATTGCTCTCCCTTTACTGCCTATACCAAGCGAGGAGGAGAGGTGCCTTCCTACTACAAAATGCATTCACTCAATCATTGGGCATGACTTTATCATTGACTTTCTTGTTTTCAGTGGAAAATATCCAGTTACATCTGGCACAAAACCCAGAGGTAATGAATTCAGGTTACTCTCACGTGACCGATTTTTCAATTGGTTTTTAGGTACTAACGTTTTGTTTTCTACAGCCAGATGAGCAGGAGTGGAAAACAAATGTCTGAAATGAGCCCTCTGATGAGACCAAGATAAGAAATGCACAAATACAGGAGCTATTGGCAAAGAGAAGATTAAAGAGCAGAGACCAGAAATATCCCTGCAAACATAAGAGAGGGTGCTGTTAACCTTTAATAAGTAATTACAGTAAATACCAGCTATTAAGAGAGTTTTATGAATGCAAAAGACAACGCTGTGGTGCAATTTGTATGCAGATACCATCATGATATCCCCTTTTATCCTGTAAAACGTCAGCTTCTTCAAAGTCTCCTATTAAGTGTTGGATGTCTGTCCTCCAGTGAATCAGGATTGAGTTGGAAAAGATGCTATCACTGCCTGTGAGCTGGAAGCTTTCCACCAGCACAGCTCAGCATGTGAATGCTCCCTGGTCCACTTCTACGCAAAGTCAGCCCAACTCCTGCAAGGCTTGCAGCAATTTCAGTTGGTTCATTTAGCTGGTGGAGTTTACATTAAAACAACTCAAACTGCAGCAAAGTCAACATACATCTGTGTCCTAAATTACTGGAGTACAGCCACTGACTTACTGTTTGCACAACCACTTTAATGTCAAAGATGTGCTGA